TTAACCCTTGCTCCAGCATCCGTCGAGGCAGCCAGCTCTCAAACGGCGGTGGCGAAAGCTCTGAGAGAAGGCGGGATCGACCTTATGCGACCCAGCAAGCATCAGCAGCAGTGCGACCGATCTGCCTGCTAAGCGCTGGGTCTGCACGTGCGCCTGCATGGTCCTCGCGACCTTCAGGTCTGCGCCTGACGCGCCCGTGATGCTATTGCCATACTCATAGAAGGCGGGCGCGGCACTTTGCACCGCGGTGTACAAGCGCATTTTTTTACGAGCCCTGAGCAATGGAGCGCCTGGCGGGCCATGGCGAACGCGGGCTGCCTCCTGGCAGCTCGGGTAGCGCGCGGGAAGACGTGGCCAGCAGCGAAAACTATGCCTGCGTTCCTCTCGGCCCGGGAGCCCAGGGCCGAAACCGACGGAGCAGGAACGCGAGCGACTGACGAAAGGCAGACGAAGAAGCAATGACTTTGCTCTTCTTGACAACTATTGGCAGCTGCGCTGCTCGCAGCTCGCTGCGCAACATCCGGGTGGCTTAGTAGCCGCGCCGGCCGCTCCCCCGAAACACTGGGGACCAAAATCGCCAACGACACTGCCGAGGTGCACGCGTCGAAAAAAACCGCTGGATTCAATCCAGCGGCAGCAGCAGCAGCTGAAGCATAGCGGCGGCGAAATGACAACCCGGCAAGACAGCCCGAAGAGTCGCAGTCGGGCTGGGGGCGGCATCGTAATAGGACAAGACCCTAGGACAGCGGCAGAGCTCGACGAGCAACTTCAGCTGGCGGAGCGGAAACCCCGACCGCGCAACGGCCGAAACCAGCTCCGCATGCTCAACGCACTCAAACAACGCTTGTAGGTCTAGCAAGACAAGGGACGAAGAAACCTCGAGAAAGGGCCCACTCGGCTGGGCAATCTTGGATCCGCATTGATTTGTCACTAGAGCGGCCTGACGTGGACCACCAGTAGGGCCTGGGATTGGCCTCTTACCACTGGCGAGCGATAGGCTTGCGCGGGCGCCCCTGAATGCGAGCTAAGATGTGGACGAGGGCTATGGGCCTCAGCTCCCCATGCTTCCTGGCTAAAAACACGACCTTGGTCCACGTGGCTGGCCAGATACAGGCCGCCTCGACCTCAACCAAGAATGAATCAAACACGAAAAGGGCTCCACCTGTGAGCCCCAGAAGCTGCCGCGGACAAAACTGATCAAAATCGCATCCTGACCTACGCGGAAAGCCGCGAATGCAGCGCTTGAGTTCGTCCAGCGCCGGGCGCTCAAAACGCGGACCTAGATCCTGTGGCCACTGGATGGTCTCGCGCAGTCCCCCGACCTGCCACCGCTCAGACTACTCCCGAGGCAACGCCTCCACCTCCTCATGAAGCGCGCAGGGAGCACCAGTGGCGCTGATTTTGCTGGCATGCCATGGCGTGGGCGGCCTGGTGTGCGCAAAAGAGGGCGGCCGCTCCATCGATGGAGCGTCGCTTCGCCCAATCTCGCCCAGCCGGCCATCTCATTCTTCCCAGCGCCACGACGCGCCGCGACAGCCTTAGATCCGGCCAACTGCCCGAGGAGAGAAGCGAGCTCATGGGGCAGAGAGCGCACGACTTGCAACAACAAAACCCAGGGCCCCTCTTCTTGCAAAGAAACACCGCCACGCCTGGCACGACCCTGGATAAAGCTTGCTGGCGCGAACATGCCAGCGCGCAGGGGGGGGGCTGCCAACGCGCCAGCCCTTCGAGACATCTAGCAACGAGCTTCCGCCAGAGCGCCAAGGGACTGAGCCTGGGTTGGGGGGCCCCCCGACTGGAAAACGAAGCGACTCAGCGCGGCCAAAGTACTCAGGATCGTCGGCTATGTCAGCGTCGTGCAGCTCAGCGGCCTCCTCCTCTGCATTGGCGACCCAGAGCCTTTACATCTCATTCGCCGACGTTCCCTGCGTGCGAGCACCGACGTCTTGCCATCGCCCGTGAGTGTCAGCTCTACGACAACCCATGGGAACGTCAAGGGGGGAACGCTGGGGGAGCTTGGCCACCTGATTCTGCATCTGGGCCCAGTGCAACACGGGCAGCCGAAGAAACACAGGAAAATGCAGAGCTGCCCCACCGTCCACGACGACCTCGGCACTGGCACGATGCGACAGGACAGCCGACACGATGTAGTAGTCGATCACGCGACCCGATGAGGCACTCGAGTTCGCACAGGCAGCACATGTTGGGAAAATGCATACGCCATCCACCGCATCACTCCATTCACTGCGTTTGAGCGCCTCAGGCAGCAGCTGAACATCACTCGTGAGAACACAGGGCAGGCCCGTCGCCTGGATGACCTGCCCAAAGGCATCGAGGATAGGCCAATTGCGCGGGGACAGCCCTGCACTATGGTGCATGTAGACACTTGGACGCCCGAAATGGGCACGGAAAGAATGGGTACAATGCCCAACTGCAAATGTTGTCTCAAGGCAACAGCGGCCGCTGTTGGGCAGGCGGCCTTCCGTCTCAAATGGACACAGGCCGCGGCGGCGCGGACAGCGAGTCCTGTTCAGAATGAACAGGAACTGCTGTTGGGCATTGTATCTATTCTTTATGTGCCCATTTCGTGCGTGCAGATAGACAGAAATCCACAGTGCACCTCCAGGTGAGAGGCCGGCAACGTGGAGGGCCCGAGCCCGACCATCAGCGATGACAGATGGTACACATTCAACTTGAGCCAAGCCCAAATGCCACGGCACACATTGCAGTAGCCCACCTGATGTGCCACCCGCACGGGTAGCTGCTGCTGGCGCCATGACCGCTCGCCACGACTGCTTGCGAAGTTTTTGCTCCCACGCATCACAGCGACTGGAGAGAACATGGTGCTCTTGAGCGGCAAGCGCATGACATGCCTTGACAACTGGCTGAGAGAGTATGCCCTCGAGGCCGCTGGGTCCGCTGACGTTGGACGTGACGAAAGTCCAGACATCCGAGGCCACGGCATCATTACCCAGACTGCGGTTCAACTCTGGACTTCTTCTTGGCGGCCTCGAGTAAGATGGCATCGAAGATGCCCTAGGTCAACTCATGTTTGACGCTGTGGGTCTGAGCGAGCTGCATGGAGGGCGACAGCGACTCCTCACAGCCTTCGTTGGCGCTTGCAGAAAGGGCAGCAGGCTGGTTGCACCATGCCAACAACTCTTGGTAAGCCTCGTCTGCGCGATGCTTGGCGGCAGCGGCGTCCTCGGCTGCACGAGCCTCGGCTGCGGTGTCGCCTCTAGCGGGAGCGGGAGGAGACGGGCTTCCCACTCCCGCAGGGGGGGGGGGGGGGCTGGGGCTGCGGCGCCGACCCCAGGCTCGACATCCATGGAGCCAGGCAGAGGAACAAGCTGAGGAAGAAGAGCTTGGAGCGCTGGAACCAGGCCCTGCAACTGTTCCGCGAACTGCTTGAGCCTCTCGCCCTTCGCCAGCACGTCGGTGAAGGTCGTGAGCTGCTGCGCTGGGTCCGAGCGGTGCCGATGCCACCCATCTCGGCGTAAGCCTTGGCCGCCTTGGCCGCAGCCTCCTTGCTGCGCGCCTGCAGCACTTGAAACTCCTGCTTGCACTTGGCCGCATGCACGACCGCCTTGTGAGCCGCTTCCTGCGCCCTGTCGAACTGGCGCTGGGCCTTGGCGACCTGCTCCTGCAACTGGTCTTGTTCAAGCCTGGCGCACTTGGCTGAGGCATGGGGCTCACCCCGAAAGAGAGACCGGCGCATGACCACTTTGGCCACCACCTTTGGCGACCAGCTGGACGCTTGCCGAAATCCTCCAGCGTGAGCTTCGCATACATGTCAATCGTGGACTCGTCGAGCTGCTGATGGCCATTGCCGCTCCCCTTGGGCGGCCCATTGCTCCAGGAGCCGAGCTGACGACACATTCGTAGGCGATGGTTTCCCACACACGCGGCAGTGCGCGCGAGAGAGATAGTTGTACAGATAGCCGCACTTCCTGTGGCTGCACTGCCAAGTCTTGAGCCTATCCATGGCCGACGCGGGACAAGAGGGCTGCAAGGCCAAGCTGGCTGGCACAATCGCGCAATAGTTCGCAAAGGCGTGCGGGATGAAACCGCAATACCGTACCAAGGAACGAAGGTATTGCCTCCACGAGGTGCGCTGTTGGGGCCACTGTTCCCCCTGCCAAAGAAAGTCCTCAAGTCCCTGAGCCTCCCGCGACGGGCTTGTGCCAAAATGCTTCCGGATTTCCTCATCCTCCCCCTCCTCCTCCTCCTCCTCCGCCTCCTTCTCCATCCCTTTCCTTTCCTTCCCGACTCCTCGAGGCAGGTCCGCGGTGGGACAGCCCGCCCAGCGCGGGCGCCTACTCTCTGCCGCGGGTGGCCTCCCAGCGCCTGCCCCGCAGTTGCTCTCCCCACGGCCGAGGGTCGGGAGGGTGACGCCCGACGCTGGCGCGCGGGGGGGGGGCACCTGCCCCCCAGCACCCTGGGAGAGAGGTTCCCAGGCGGCCTCCCCGGCACGGCTGGTGGAAAGCCGCGCGGGAGTGAACCCCCAGCAGCCCGGCTCTGGGCGACACGCATGGCAATGAAGACGACAACGACGACGATGAGGAAGACGACGACTACGGCCATGACGAGAAGGACGACGAGTGCGATGCGGACGGCGACGACGCCAACGACTGCGGGGTTCGCCTGGGCCCCACCGCCCCTCCACTCTGCGCTTCTCGGCCCGCAAGTTAGACCCCACGCTGGCGATGAGAATCCTGCTCTCCTGAACGGCTGGAGGGTGCTGGCCTCCGTCCCTCTTCCTGGACAGTGGCTCCCCCTGTCGCACCACCGGACGTGTCCGTAGGCCGGGGCTGGGCGCTTCGCCGCTTGAGACCGTCTTGTAATTGCTTGTCCTGAATCCAACAGTCTCCAACCAACAACTTCAGGGGTGTGAGGCCAGTCGGTTTCCAAACGCGACTCTCTTCGGGGTCACCAGGCCGCGGGAGAGTTTCCTGTGCCCTGTGACAGTTTCAGTTTCCAGCATCCACAGGTACACTGTGAGCCAGCGTGGACCCGAAACAGCGGTTCCTTGTATACTAGGTGATGCTATCTACGCGGTGCAAGCTATGTGGTGCAATATGCGGGTTGCAATCAATCACTTGCTCAACTTGAAACTGTCCTCTCCACTGCTCGTGCAAACATCCCACCCTCCCACCCGCAACTTGGTCGCAAGACCTCTTGAGACCGTGTCGGTGGGTACCACATGGCACTTGGCAGCGACACCGACGCCGACGACGACAGCGACAACGACGACGACGACGACGACGCCGCCGACAACGACTACGACGACACCGACGACGTCTCCAACGACTTCGACGACGACAACAACGACGACGACGACGACGACGACAACACCGACGACGACGACGACGACGACGCCGACGCAGTCTACGTGGTGCAATCTACGTGGTGCAATGTATGTGGTGCGACTTATGGGGTGTGAGCTACGTAGTGTAATCCATGTGGCGCAATCCATGTGGCGCGGTCTACGTGGTTTAAGCTATGGAGTGCAATTCAAGCGGTGCGTTCTATGCAACGCAGTCTATGCGGTGTAAGATATGCCGTGCAACACGTGGAACCAATGTACTCATCCAGGTGGTGTGAGCAGTGTGGTGCAAGCCATGTAGTGCAATATGTATGGTCCGACCTATGGGGTGTGAGCTGTGTAGTACAATCTATGTCATACAATCCATGTGGTGCGATCTAAATGGTGCAAGCTCTGGAGTGCAAGGTGGTGCAATATATGAAGAGGAATCGATGTCGTGCCTGCTACGTGGCGCAGTGCAAAGCCATGCAGTGCGATTGCAGTGCGATTGCAATGCTTTGCGATTGCACTCAGATTGCAGCGCAATGCGATTGCAACGCAATGCAGTGCGAGTGTAGCGCAATGCAGTTCGATTGCAGTGAAATGCTGCGACGAGGCGGCGGCGACGGGCGGCGACGAGGCGGCGATGAGCGGCGACGGGGCGGCGACGGGGCGGCGACGGGGCGGCAACGGGGCGGCCACAAGTGCCAAGGCGGCACACGAGCCCGCGACGAGGTGGCGACGGGCGGCGGCAAGCGGCGACGGGGCAACAACAAGCCGGCCAGGGCGGCACACGAGCCCAGTTCCCTTGAACACGCAAGTAAGAAACCATGGGTGCAAGCACTGTAGGGGGGACTTGATGTTTGTTTCCTACTCTGGGTGCAAGCACTGTTCGGGAATGTTAATGCTCGCTTCCGATTCTGACTTCTTACTGTCCGCGACAAGGACGACAACCACCCATGTACCGTACAGAAACCACCCCACGTAAGCTGCAACGCGCTTGCGTTTTCGAGGCCGCACTCGCTCTCATGTGTTGTCTCACTCGCGCGACCAGCCTGCAAGATCGGCAGAGGTTGTTTCAGGTTCGCAGTGCGAACCGCTGTGTTTCTTAAAGGAAGGTATGACGTTTCTATCAGGCTAGGCATACTAGAAGGCTTCCTAGGGCATACAAGACGCACGTTGGAGTCTCAAAGGAAGCTCCCAAGGAACCACCGAACGCGAGTGTCGGCGACGCCCCATAGCTCCCCACATCCAACTGTCGGCCCCATATGGCTCGAGATGGCTCCAGGATGGCTCAGGACGAGTCTAGGCTCAATTGGCTCCAGGCGGCCCCAGACGTCTCCAGGATGCGCCGAAATGGCTCCACGGCGCGAACAAGCACTGCTCCAAGGCGGTTCCACGTGGCCACGGGGCCTCCCTGTGAGGCCCACCAAGACACTGCAGTCCTCCACACTCGAATACTTCTCTGTGTGTGTTGGCTCTCTCGTCTTCGGCGTGCGGGTTTCCCCATCTGGGGGGGCCCGCCGCGACTCCCGCTCTGCGGGCTCGCACGTTGTCGTTCAGCTAGCAAGCACATCATGAATTGGACAATGTCGCGAAGAAACAACTGTTTGCTTGTCGCTGGCAAGCGGACTAACAAGTAATGGCGACGTCTCGGTATTGTCCGACTCACGTCGTGCTCGACAATATGAAGACAGCATGGTTTGGACCCTTTCGTGGCGAAACTTGTGCTTGTTTGGTTACCAGCAAAACACATCTCATTATTACAGACAAGGGGTCGGCGGCACAAGGCTAAGGCTTCACCGAGAAATAATCACACGTATTTGCGCATATGTATATATATATATATAACAGAGGAATGCACACCACACACATATCTACACATATACCTATATACACTATACATATAGAGATATATGTATAAATATATGCGCGCGCATGCTCACACAGTGCGAGATGCGCGGGTGATGGATGCCTCCTTTTCAGAATTGGGATTTCGCGTTTCCCCCCGCAATCGACTTCCTCAATTTGAATCGCCGTACGTGCAATCTTGCGCAACGCTCGCACGGGCTCGCTGAATTCTAGCCTTAGATTTGCGCATCCCCTCTCGCGCGCTGGAGGGAGGCAGGGCAGTCCCTGCTCAAAGTGGGGCCCTCGTCCGACTGACAGACCAATCGGGTCCTCGTCTTTCAGCAGGGCGCTTCCCTCGGTGCAGAGGGAGGCTCGTCGGGGCTCACGAGGAGGGGACTTGGGGCGGGAGGGTGTATTGCACGATCGTTGATGCATCCTGGGTTCACGGTGGTACTGCATCCTCCTCCTCCTCCTCCTCCTCCCACTCCTCCTATCCTCCTCCCCACTTCTCCCGTCCTCCTCGTAGCCCTGAAAATCCTCCTCCCTCCCTCCTCTTCTGTGGACCCTTGAGATACGCGTTGTTTGAGCGTGTTTGAAGAATTGGGAGGCTGCGGACACCTCCCCCAAAGGACGCCCAGAGAACTCTGAGGACTTGTCGGATGCTCTTCCTCCGCCTCCTCCTTGATCATTATCGCTTGCTCCTTCGTATGTTCCACCTCGCCCCCGTCTTTGTGAATCCTCCTCCTCTGTTCTCTGGTCTTTTCCACCAACTCCTCCTACATCGTCATCCATCCTTGCCTCCTCCTGCTCCTCCTCCTCATTTGTCCTGGCTCCTCCTCCTCCTCCTCCTCCACCGCCCGGCCTCTTCCTCCACCGCCTCATTGTCCTCCTTTCTCGTCTCCTCGCCTTCCTCCATCCTTCCAGTTACTCCTCTTCCTGCTCCTCCTTCCTTCATTGTTATCTCTGCCCGCTGCCTCCACATTCGATCGTCTTCCGCCGCCTCATCCTCCTCCTCCTCCTCATCCTCATCCTCCCCTCCTTCTCCTGTCGCGTACACCAAGCGCCAAGCGCCTATGGCTCCGCGCCCGCCACCCGCGGCCTCGCCAGTGACGTTCGCACATGAGGCTGGAGGTGAAAGATCTCGTTGCCGCTGAGCGGCGAGCTGCATGCGAGACGAGCAGCACGAGCAGTACTGAGCAAGAGGAGACCACCGGCAGCAGGCGTCAGGGATTGGCGGACGGCTGGCAACGACCGAAGCGAGAGATGGCAGACTCCAGAGACAGCAGCAGCATTGAGATCAATCCTGCAGATTTGTGCCAAGGCCACAGGCCGACAGACACCCTTGCACTTGATCATCACGCAAATTCGTGGAAGTGGCCAATGAGCCTGCTAAAACAAATGAGACCTCAACTGCCCCGATGCAACACGCAACACGTAGCGTATTGATACGGAACTCAGCACGTAGACTGAACACGTAGGTCTGGCGAGACGTTCGCCAAAACGTGGGCCAATGCGTTGAGCCAACACGCAACGTATTGACACGGACGTTTTGAACACGGCATGTGTTTGTTTCAAAATCGGGAGTATCATGGCAGCTAAGTCTGAGACGGCTAAACTGAATACAAACAGCAAGCCCGCAAGACAAACCCGCAGGGGGTCCCATTCGATCTGTGAAGTCTCGGCCCGACGCTCAGCGAACTGGCTCAGGAAACGCGAAGTGAGAGTGGAGGGGAATGGGACCAAAGAAAACAAGAACCCTCCGACCTGACCTTCCGAAAGCACTATCCGGACCTTGGGCCTGCTACGTCGGAGTTTGGCGTCATCCAGCGGCGGTGGACTTCGAACTTCATGCGCGGCCGAGCGGGCTGTCTGCCCAGCAGCTCGAAGGGTCGAACTCTCTGCGAAATCGCTGGCAGCGGATTCGCGACTGACGGCGCTTGATTCCCAGTGAGCAGGGCACGGGCGTCGTTGACCCGTCTCCCGGAGGGCTCAAGTACTGGCGAACGGCGCGCTGGAATGTTCCGCGTAGCGGTTCCCACTGCGACAGAATGTGCAGAAAGGTGCGCACAGGAGTAAACAATGCGAGAAAATGGACGCTTGGGGCGCAAGGACCGCCCCAGCAAAAGAGGGTAAACCACCCAGAGCGAGGGATGATGCAATGTGGCAGGAACGAGACGAGCACGCTCGACAAGGCCAAACGACAGGCAACATGAGGGATCGGCAACGGGACGCACATAACTACATATATTAGAAAATTGGCACGGCACCCGTGACCACACATATACTAAGTAACGGCAGCGTGCGATTCCGCATGAGGAATCTCGCGCCCAAGCTGGCAGCACTTCTGAATGGGAGATACCCAACTGTCAGTTTCAATGCCAAGGCCCAAAAACAAACCACGGTGAGTAAACAACTGAAAGAATTCGTTGTGCTCAGCTGGGTATGTGCTCAGCTGGCCATTCGTTGATGGTTGGGCCAGCCATGTCGAGAATTCTGCGCCGAGCGGTGTGGTGAAACACTGTGTGCACGTTACTCTCAAGTCGGCGAGTTTCTGCTTAAGCCGATAGGGCATTTCATTCTCCGGAGGTCTACGAAGGCACGAAGAGCAACACCCACATCGTCAGCGCAAGCACGGGCCACACCACGGGTCGTTTGGTCCAACCCGCCACTGGTTAGGAATGGGCGCGATGCAAATACGTGGAAACGACCAAATGCAGGGCAGCCCTGGATAATGCAACTCTCCATGACGATGGCGAGCTCCAAGACGCGACTCACATGCACCCAGCAGTGTGCAAACTTGCACGGAGGGGCGAGGTAGCGTCTCGGAGATATGCAGACATCGCAGCAATAGCAACAACCGCGCATGTCCAGTGGATGGAAATGCCTGGTTAGAATCGAAAGCCACCGAAACGGGGTTGAGAGAAATGGGTTCGTCGTCGCTGGCACCCTGCAGCCTGTAGGCCGTGGAGCGGCTAAATTCGAAGGTGGCCCACACCATCCACCCCGAGGTGAACCCATGTTGAATACCGCAGATAAAAAACGTTCAGGGCCCCACTCAACTCCTTCATCACAATCGCGTGAGGATCTTGTTCGATATTTGCTCAACGTGAATGGGCGTGTGTGACAACCCTCGCGCCCATCTAAATATGATTCCGTCTTTCTTGAATGTTAGAACAAACACCTTGCGGAAGTCGCTGAAACTCGCAAGCGGGCTGTTCCCACCCAAGATCCATCAGTGAACCTCGTCGAGGACCTCGGAGTCTAAGGGATGGGATTGCCATGCAACGAACACGAGCCCAGAAATGCCTGGGGGCGACTGGGCGCGTCCTTGAGGTACTCGCTCTGGGTTACTAAATGCTTTAATCATCATCCTCCGTCAATCGTCGTCCTTCTTATCCTGTTCATCCTGTTCCTTCTCCTCAATCCTCAATTGTCCGTCTCTGCCTTGCCCCCTTTGCAATTTCTGACCTAGCCCCCCCAACCCAAAACACGTTTTATTAGACGTCCCTCCTCCTCGTCCTCCTACCCACTCCCGCTCCACAATCGCACATCGAATGGGATCCAATTCGGCTCATCTTCCGCGTACATGCCGTAATTGTCATGGCCACGGGGAGGATTCAGACAGCGAGGTACAGCCGAAGTCGCCAAGGCTTCAATCATCCTGAAGCCGTGCACGCGGTGAACAGGCCATAGAACGGAACGCAACGCGAGACCAGGACCGAAATAACCGTCTCGCTGTGGTAACATGTCGATCCAACTGATACCACCGACGGGAATAGGAAGGACCCGTCGACAAAAATACCGAAAGCGGCAGTATTCAAGGAACGGTTACCTCCAGACTACCAGCTGCGATCTGGTCAACACTCCTTCGTGGACGTCGTTCGCCCCTCCTCAACTCCCCTCTTACATTTGTCCTCGGATTCCTTTCTCGCACCGTCTTCCTCCTCCTACACCCTCATCCTTCTGGAGGCTTCGGCAAAAACGAAAAAGATGGTGGTGATGAAGCGCTGGGGTCCTGCGCCAGCCGCGCGTACGCCATCTGACCCCCGCAGTTCGCCGAGCAGGCCGTGTCGGCGCCTCGAAAAGGGATCAGGATGAGTAGGAGGAGGTGAGGAGAAGAAGATGCTGCCCCGTGAGTTCGAGCTAACGGGGGGGAGGAGGAGGAGGAGGAGGAGGAGGAGGAGGAGGAGCCATACAAACATAGAAGAAGAAGAAGCGGGGGATGCTCGAACTCCGACTACTGGAACAGCGCTCTGAATGTCACCGTCACCGAACGCCTGGAGGAAGATGATGAGAGGCGGCTTGTCAAATTGTCAGACACACAGGTCAGGCAAACAGATAACATCACTACGTGCAGGGAAGTGGCGAGTCCGAACAGGAGGGCGTACTGAGCGGTCTTCCCATTCATGTCTGCGGCCAGCACCAATTCCAGTGGGCTCCGTTACCGCAGCCGTCCCCCTCCACCTCAAGCCCTCGACTTCCCCAGATCACGCACGACAACCTCAGGACCACCGCAGGCGACACCGTGCGCCACACCCGTGGGCTCAGCGACAGGGGCGAGCATCCATGGTCCTCCTGTCCGTAGCAAATCCGGCACCGTGTCTCTGGCTCGACGTGGAGTGTCCTTGGGTCCCGCAGAGACCTCTGAATCGAACGCTGCAAACCGTATTCGAGGAGCCCACAACCCCGAATTCCGGGCGCTCTTGGGCGTTCCTGTGGGTGCCTCGCGTGACGTTCTACAAGACAGAGACCGGCAAGACGGGCGCAAAGGGTGTGGCGACGCCGCCGAGACGGTCCAAAAGGGCCCCGGAACGGACCAAGAGACCCCAAGATGGTCCAAACGGGGCTCAAAGCTAGCTTCAAGAGGGCCCCGGAACGACCCCGCGAGGGGCAAAAGAGGTAAATGTCACTGGGGCCCCAGAGGTGTTGGAGGGCTTTTTGGCGTCCTTGCCGTTTCCTGCGTCCAACGCCCCAAGACGGCTGGAGAGGCCCCCAAGACGACCCCCAAGACAGCCCAAGCGGCCTCCACGACGGCCCACAGAGGGGCCCAGCAGGGCCCCGACACATGGGGGAGAGCTCAGCCTGCGCACGACTCGGCGTGGGCCCGGCGGGCGGGGAGCCGCGGGCTCCTGAGCGCGGCGGTGCACGCCCCACGCTGACAAGCATACCGGCCCTCGGGACCCCGGCCTGGCGAGCTCTCTCTTCTCTCTCCCAAGATCACCGAGCGCGTCCCACTGCTGGCAGAGTGCCTACTCGCAAACGTCCGAAAAACACATGTCTGTTTTGATGCAAGGTATCGTAGATCCCCCGCGGCGTATCCAGGCCATTTGCGAGTAGTTACTTTGCGAGTAGTGGAACGCGATCGTCTACAAAAATAGCCCATCTCACGACCCTCTCCCTGGGAGCGCGCCGTAACCCCTGCAACACCCTGCACCCCGAACCCGCAAAGACCCTATGCAGCAGCACTCTGTAAAACAACCACGCGTGCATGGCAGGCATCCGTTGGCCGTGTCGCATGCTGCCCTGCCTTTGGCCGGGGCGAACGCTCTACGCTTGCTCGGAGGCCGCCAGGGCAGTTATGATGCCTGCAGTGCCCTGCAATCCGTACCTCTGCAATACCCTGCAAACGCCCTGCAATACCCTGCAAGACCATGCAAACCCTTGAAACGCCTTGCGAACTTTTGCGATGACCGTGAGGAGTCATCCTTCTCATCCCAGTCCTTGCCCTCGCCGTGCCCCCCCCCTCCCTCTCCCTACTCGCGGCCTCTACGAGGCCGCTAAGGACAGCCCAATGAGCCCCAGAAGGGCCTCAATGGTGCCCCAGAAGGGCCCAACAAGCGTCCAACATGGCTCCCAAGATGGCTCCAAGACGCCTCCAAGGGGCTTCCAAGAGTTTTGCGGAGCGACATATCCGCGAAGGCTTTCATGGTTGCTTCGTCATCGTCGTACCCGTTTTCCTCCCCCATCCTCTTCTTTTGTTTCTCCCTCCGCCACCCCCCACACACACCTCCTCGTCGTCGTCGTCGTCCTCCTCCTCCTCCTCCTTCTCCTCCTCCTCCTCCTCCTCCTCCTCCTCCTCCTCCTCATCATCCCTCCTCCTCCCTCCTACACTCCCTCCTCCTCCGTTCCCTCCTCCCTCCTCCTCCTTCCTCCTCCTCCTCTCCTCCTCCTCCTCCTCCTCCTCCTCCTCCTCCTCTCCTCCCCCCTCCCTCCTCCCTCCTCCCTCCTCCCTCCTCCCCCCTGCCTCCTCCCTCCTCCCTCCTCCTCCTCCTCCTCCTCCTCCTCCTCCTCGTCCTCGTCCTCCTCATCCTCCTGCTCTTTCTCCTCCTCCTCCCCTTTTCCCACGCGGAACGAACATCCAGCCCCAAAATCGGTTCGACGAACTCCCCAGACATCTATTCCACTGTATCCCCCATGTTTGTTTGTTTGTTCTCTCTCTCTCTCTCTCTTCGTCTTTCGATTCCAGCTCCCTCAAGTCCAAGCGGTTCCGAGATCGATGTTCGGCGGCTTCCGCAAGTTTCGTAGTTCCCACGGCTTCTGTACAATTTCCCCTGCGTTTCTTACCGCAACGATCGCACACGCGTTGGTTGTGTCAATGTTCTCACCCGCGCGCTGATTTTCGCTCAGGTGTCGGCAATGTTCTGCGAAACTTCCGGTATCTCCCAACATGTTGTAACATGTCATTGGATTCCTGTTGCGTTTCGTCTCTTCGCGGATCTTGCCCTCGTAGATCACTGTCCGTGACAATTGCGCCGGATTCCTGGAGGAGATCGGCAAGGTCCTCCAGTGCTCTGCGCTGACAAGGACGCACGCTATCGCCACATCCTTTCCGGCTCCGACGTCGCGGGCGCCACTGAGGTCCCCTCGGAAACAAAAGCGTGCCCAAGCCAAGTAAGAGCCAGCTCGAGCCACAATGGCTACGGAATTCAGCTCTCCGATGATTTCGGATTCCCAAAGGAGGGCCAACAACTCGAGGGCAGAATCCTCCCTGTGTCTGAAGAGGAGCCCGAGAGGGGGAACACGAACTGACATTTCGGGCCCTCCGACCCAAGATGACCCCCGATACCGCAGGCCCCCAAGAGGTCACAAGAACGAAGAGGCCCAAGAAGGACCCTAAGAGGTCCTGTAGAGGGGCCGCCGCGCAGAGCGCTGCGCTGGCAAGGAGGCAGAACTTGCCGAGGGCAGCCTGATACGGATGCCAGACCCCGGGTAGGACGCAGCGGTGCCCGTCGCAGGACGCAAGGGCGTCCCGCTGCCACGAAGCCAGCCCGATCGCCGAGACTGCGACGAACGCCAAAAGGCCCCTCTGCTGCGCGGCGGGCTGGCCGCGGAGGGGGCCTCCCTCGGCCACGCCGGGTGCAGCGGTGCCGCCCGCGTCGCCGCTGCTCCTCCTCGCCGTCGGCAACTCCCGCCAGACGATGGCGCTCTGGTCTTCGCCTTGGGGCCGTCCCTGCCAAGATCCCGCGACAATGTGAGAGAGAGCTACAGTCAAATATTGTTGCTTTGCGCTTCTCGGCGGCGGCCCCAGCGAGGCGCTATGCCCTGCAAACGGATGGTGTGTCGCTGCGCTGCGCGGGGGGGGGCTGGGAAAAGGTCGGAACGTTGATGATTGGGAACTGGGTCGTAGATAGCGTGTCGAGCCGAGGCACGGTGGGCAAGAACCGGCGGCGCGACACGCTCAGCAAACCTTCCCGACCGTAGCCCGACAACCATTGGCAGAGGCCGCGTGGTCCCTCCGTCAGCGGTCAGCTCTTGTTGGAAAGGTGTGTGCGTTCGGCTGTCTTCCCCCTCCTCCCAAACGCCTTATCCTCCTTCCTCCCACCATGCGCAATTCCTAAGCTGGCCCCACCCTTGTTTCCGATCCCCCGGAATTGGCAGTCGCCACCAGTGCCCCACGGTCGGTGGGCCATGACTCTGTGCGGACATCCCACTTTGCCCGACCAGCAATATATAACCCCACGCAAAGCAAGCAAGAACGGGAAATAACGAGAGGAATGGTAGAACACCCATTGGGCGAATGCTCACCACGAAAAACAGCATGCGTGTGCGAACTCATCACTCTGGGCAATGCCGCAAACGGTGCCCGCACAAATGCCCGTCACGAGTGGAGAGCGAGCAAATGCCATGACAACAAGACCCTGTGGAAGGCGAGCGCGTAATGCCGCGGTCGAGAACGCATCGCGGAAGCAAGCAGGGGGGGGGGGGAAGGAGAACACTGACGGCAAGCAAAAGATCGACGCCGACATGGCAACAGGGGCAGTGCAGCCCCTCCAAGTCGAAGACTGTTTTTGTCGCAGCGGTTTCGCAGTTCACGAGGGAGCCCGTCTTTCTTCTCTGTTCTAGTGTCACCTTGTTTCTGGCAATCTCAAGATCTCCCCCTCCTCTCCTCTCTAACGGCTGGTTCCTCTAACTCCCCTTCCCTTCTCTATATCATTCACCCAACAGTGCCTGCAATTACGGGATAGCGCTTCTTTTCTGAGAAAGTGGGCCTGCGGCCCAGTCTGGCGGTTCCGCGCACGCCGTCGCCGCCACGTCGCCGCCTCGCCGCTGTCTCGTCGCCGCCCGTCGTTTGGGGCTGGGGGCCAATCTGGCGGTTCCGCGCTCTCCGTCGCCGCCCCGTCGCCGCCGTCGCCGCCCCGTCGCTGCCTCGACAGATTGCACCGCGCAAGTTCTCCTTCGTGAAAAAAAACTGATCCACCACCCCACGCCCCCTTTACGATTACATACGATTCTGCCCCAACCGCTCATCTCAAGAACAATACTCTTCCTCATGCTTGCTGCTGCTCCTTCTCATGGGCCGCGTGCTCGTCCTTCTCGCCCCGCGGCCTGCGCCGTCGCGCAGGCCGATGCGCCGCAGGGAGCGGCGGCCGCACCGCTAAGCATACGAAGAAGGGGCGCGCATCATGCTGCCCGCCCCTGACCCGCGGCCCGCGCCGCCCCGCGCTCTTGGCAGCTGGGGTCGGCTGCTGGGCACTGGGGGCATCCGGAGCGCACCCGCAACTGTGGGCAGCCCACCCCTCCTCCCTCTGGCCAAGCGCCGAGGTTCAGCGGCGCGCTGGCGCACCATGGCCAGGCGCCACAGAGAGACAGAGCTGCAAAGTGGGATGGTGGCCCAACACGCTGCGAAAATAGCGCGCTGAGCAAGGATGGTCGCGCGAATGATCGATGACGGATATCTCGCATGCTTCCTCTTGCTCGCTGCTGTTCCTTCTCATGGGCCGCGCGGTCGTCTTTTTCGCCCATCGGCCCTCGCCTTCGCGCAGGCCGATGCGCCGCAGAGAGCGGCGGCCGCACCGCTGAGTATACGAAGAAGGGGCGCACACCCTTCCCGCCCCTGAACCGCGGCCGCAGCGGTAGGCCAGCCAGCAGCAAGCAATCATCGCAATCGCCGCCGCATGGGTTTTGCAAACCACTTTGCGAGTGGGTGGGTGCGGTGCTTGCACGAGCACTGGAGATGACAACTCACTGGTGGGCATTCGATAATTGCACCACGTCGGCCGCACCACGCATATTGCACCAGATGGAATGCGCCACGTCGATTGCACAATGCCGGCTCTCCTTTCTAACAGAGAAGTATACACTCGACCCCCCTCGCCCCCAGACTTAACGCCATCCTTGTGCGTAGTGCAACTTACGTGTGATTTTGCCCCATCGCCCATCTTTCAAGTTTACCTCAGTCCATCCCAGGCAAGCCGGTATCACCACCCTCCCACCCTTTTCAAAAGCGACTATGCGCACGCATCCGGCTATCACGAATGTGAACTCTCAAAAACCCCATGAGCAATAAACGAAGTGCGCACGCTCGCGCCGTCGTGCGCGCATGCCGAAATCCTTCAAGCATCTGTGGTTTCGTAGGGGGTTCAGAATCGAATGCCGCGAACACAAAAAAACACACACACATGGCTTCGCAACCAAAAATTCAAAACAAACCCTGCGCTCGCGATCGCTCAAATTCTTAAGCAACCATCGTTTTTCATCAACTGCTACCACCCGCGCAGCTCGCGCGCGCACGTCGAAATCGCTCGAACGCCCTTGCGCGCGTGCTGTCGCAAGAACCCATTGCAACAAAACGCGACGTGGTGCACGCGCGCACGTCGTCGCGCGCGCATGCGGAAACCCTGCAAAAACAGCCGGTTTCGCATGGATTCCAACATCGAGCGTCCCGAAAAAAACATCTAAAACAGATAGGGCTTGCAACACCCGCGTTCAAAATGCCTGCGCTCGCGCTCCTGCGAACTCCTTAGGGACGCCATCGGTTTTTCAACACTTCCAATAAACTCGGAAACTCGGCCTAACATGCCTTTCGCGCCGCAGGTCGAAAACATGAGATCGCCTTTGCGCACGTGCTGCGGAAGGGGGGGGGGGGATCCGTGTCGAATAATACAATGCGGGCCACACTCGCGCGTCGGCCGCGCGCGCATGTCGAATTCTTTCCAAAACCTTCATCACCGACACGAGGACGCCATCATCGTCGCCGGCGTGATTGGCATCGGCGCCAGTAATGGCCGTGCCGTCGTCTTTGTCATCATCGCCACCAGCATCGCAACTACCATCATCGCGTCTACCGTTGTCGACGCTGGCATGATACCGAGCCCGCCCATATCGCCGAGTCGCACTGAGATTCCACTTGAAAGGGGCCACTGGTCACACCACCGCGGCCGCGTCGGTCGCGCCAAACAAGCTGGCCGCTTCGCGCGCGAGCATGCGCGGGCCAGCGCGGCCGCAGAGATGCACCAGCCAACGCCCAACACTCATCGCAATCGCCGCCGCATGGGTTTTGCAAATCAAATTGCGGGTGGGTGGGTGGGATGGTTGCGCGAACAATGGAGTCGACAACTCACTACGAACAGAAATTACTCGCACCAAACAGACTGCACCACATGGATTGCGCAACGTACATCGCACCACATATATTGTACAGCATAACTTGCACCATATAGGTTCTCCATTCTGTAAAAAGAATAAACTCTAATGCAGGATGACGATGAATGAAAAATGGGAGAGAACGACTTAAAACATAGTTTTCTGCTATTTCTACACAATTTTCTGACTGGAGGAGAACGATTTTTAAAAAATAGTTTTCCAGCCCGCGGCCGGTTTTTTCTAATCGTCATCCCGGGCGCCGCCGCGTGAACACGACCCCCGGTCATTTATAATTCGTCATCCTCCATTGCCCCCCCCCCGGGTTATCGCTCCCCCTGTCGGGTATGTAAATCACATACGATTCTGACCACATGTCCATCCCAAATATGGAATCGCAATGTTCCATGCCAACCGGTATCCCCCCCCTGAGGTTCCCTGAAAAAAACTATGCGGTAACATTTTTTGTTCTAACATAACACATTTTTCGCGAATCCCTTGAAAAAACTGGACGAAGTGCACACGCGCGCGTGCGCGCCGAAATCCTTCAAAAACCTTCGGTGCCGGAAGGATTTCGCAATCGAGTTCCCCAAAAACATACAAAAAACACAGGGTTTCGCAACACTGATTTGCTAAACAAAATCTTAAGAAAACCATGTTTTAAAAGGTTATCACAACATGCTATTAAACGGGCTTCGCGCGCGCGAATGTCGAAATCTGTCGAACGCCCTTGCGCGTGTGCCGCCGCGAGAATCCTCTGCAACAAATGGGACGAAGTGCGCACGCGCGCGTCGTCGCGCGCGTACGCCGAAATCCTTCAAAACCCATCGGTTTCGGAAAGATGTCAAAATCGTGTGTCCGGAAAACATACAAAAATCAGAGGTTTCGCAACACGGATTTTCAACAAAAGCGTGCGCGCGCGCTCTTGCGTCGTCGGCGTATTCCTTCCTCCCTCGTCGCTGTCGTCGTCGGCGTCGCCGTCCTTCCTCCTTCTTCGTCGTTCGCGTCGTCGCCGTCCTCCCTCCTCCCTCGTCGTTGTCGTCGTTGTCGTCGTTGTCGCCGTCGTCGTCCTCCCTCCTCCCTCGTCGTCGTCTTCGTTGGCGACGTCGTTGTCGTCGTCGTCGTTGTCTTCGTCGTCGTCGTCGTCGGCGTCGTCGTCGTCGGCGTCGTCGTCGTCGTTGTCATCGTCGTCGTCGTCGGCGTCGTCGTCGTCGTGGTGTCGTCGTCGTCGTGGTCGCTGTCGTCGTCGAAGTCGTTGGAGACGTCGTCGGTGTCGTCGTCGTCGGTGTCGGCGGCGCCGTCGTCGTCGTTGTCGCTGTCGTCGTCGGCGACGGTGTCGTGGCCAAGTGCCACCTAGTACCTACCGCCACGGCCTTGTCTTAATAGGTCATGCGACCAAGTTGCGGATGGGAGGGTGGGATGTGTGCACGAGCAATGGAGAGGACAGTTTCAAGACGGTCAAAGTGAATTCTCCTTTTAAAAAACAAAATCCCCCCCTCGGAGTTATCGGTTCCCCTCTCGGGTCTGTAAACCATATACGATTCTGACCACATGTCGATCCTAAATACGAATTTACACTATCCCCGGGGGGCCGGTATCCCCCCCTGCAGTTCCCTTGTAAAAAACACTATGCGGTGACATTTTTGGTTCGAACATCGCACTTTTTCACGGATCCCTTGCAAAAAAACGGGACGAAGTGCGCACGCGCGCGTCGTCGCGCGCGCATGCCGAAATCCATCAAAAACCTTCGGTTCCGGAGGGATTTCGCATTCGAGTTTCCAAACCACACACAAACACACAGGGTTTCGCAACACTGATTTGCTAAAAAAGCTTCCGCGCGAGCTCTTGCGAAACCTTAAGAAAAACAAATGGTTTTCAAAGATTTTCACAACATGCTACCAAACGGGCTTCGCGCGCGCGCGTGCCGAAATCTGTCGAACGCCCTTGCGCGTGTGCCGTCGCGAGAATCCTCTGCAACAAATGGGACGAAGTGCACACGCGCGCGTCGCCGCGCGCATGCCGAAATCCTTCAAAAACCTTCGGTGCGGGAAGAATTTCGCAATCGAGTTTCCAAAAAAACACACAAACACACAACAGGGTTTCGCAACACTGATTTGCTAGAAAAGCTTCCGCGCGAGCTCTTGCGAAATCTTAAGAAAGCCATAGGGTTTCCAAGGTTTTCACAACATGCTACCAAACGGGCTTCGCGCGCGCGCATGTCGGAATCTGTCGAACGCCCTTGCGCGTGTGCCGTCGCGAGAACCCTTTGCAAAAAGCGAAACGAGGTGCAGACGCGCGCGTCGTCGCGCGCGTATGCCGAAATCCTTCAAAACCCATCGGTTTCGGAAGGATGTCAAAATCGTGTCCAAAAAACATACACAACACACAAGGTTTCGCAACACGGATTTTCAACAAAAGCGTGCGCGCGCGCTCTTGCGTCGTCGTCGTCGTCGTCGCCGTCCTCCCTCCTCCCGCGTCGTCGTCGTCGTCGTCGCTTACGTCGTCATGTGTCCTTCCTCGTGTTCGTCGTCGTCGTCCTCTTTGGCGTCGTGGTCGTTTCCGTCGTCGTTGTCGCCGTGGTCGTCCTTCCTCCTCCTCCCTCGTCGTCGTCGTCGTCGTTCGTCGTCGGCGTCTCGTCGCGGTCCCTCCTATCGCGCCGTCGTCGTCGTCGTTGTCGTCGTTGTCGTCGTCGTCGTCGTCTTCCCTCCTCCCTCGTCGTTGTCGTCGTCGGCGTCGCCGTCCTTCCTCGCTCTTCGTCGTTCGCGTCGTCGCCGTCCTCCCTCCTCCCTCGTCGTTGTCATCGTTGCCGTCGTTGTCGCCGTCGTCGTCCTCCCTCCTCCCTCGTCGTCGTCTCCGTTGGCGACGTCGTCGTCGTCTTCGTCGTCGTCGTCGGCGTCGACGTCGGCGTCGTCGTCGTCGTCGACGTCGGCGTCGTCGTCGTCGTCGCCGCCGTCGTCGTCGTCGTCGTCGTCGTCGTCGTCGTCGTCGGCGTCGTTGACGTCGTCGTCGTCGTTGTCGTCGTTGCCGTCGTCGTCGGCGTCGTCATCGTCGTCGTCGTGGGTTTTGCAAACCAAGTTGCGGGTGGGTGGGTGGGATGTTTGCAAGGGCGCGGGATGTGTCAGGTACCCACCGTCACGGTCTTAAGAGGTATTGCGAACAAGTTGCGGGTGGGAGGGTGGGAAGTCTGCACGAGCAGTGGGGAGGACAGTGTCAAGTTGAGCAGGTGATTGGCTGCACCACATAGACTGTGCCACGCATACTGTTCCACATTTATTGATTGCCCAACATAGATTCTCCGTTCTAAAAAGAAAATCGATTCTACCCACCCTGGACGTATCGGCTCCCCCCCTCTATATATATACACATACATACATATGTGTGTGTGTGTTCCGCACACTCGCCCATCCTGAATATGAAATCAGACCATCCCAGCCAAACTGGTTTCCCCCCCCCTAAGGTTCCCTTCGTTTATATATATATATATATATGTATATATATATATATATATAAATACATGAAAAACTGTGCGGTGGCATGTTTTGTTCTAACATGGCAATGTTTCACGAATCCCTTGCAAAAAAGGAAGCGAAGTGCACACGCGCGCGTCGTCGCGCGCGCATGCCGAAATCCTTCAAAAACCTTCGGTGCGGGAAGGATTTCGCAATCAAGTTTCCAAAAAAACATACAAAAACACATGGTTTCGCAACACAGAGTTGCTAAAACAACTTCCGCGAAAGCTCTTGCGAAATCTTAAGGAAACCAGCAGTTTTCAAACAAATTTACAACATGCTGCCAAACGGGCTTCGCGCGCGCTCATGTCGAAATCTGTCGAACGCCCTTGCGCGTGTGCCGTCGCGAGAATCCCTTGCAAAAAAAAGGACGAAGTGCCCACGCGCGCGTCGTCGCGCGCGTATGCCGAAAACCTTCAAAACCCATCGGTTTCGGAAGGATTTCAAAATCGTGTGCCCCAAAAACCTACAAAAACACAAGGTTTCGCACCACGGATTTTCAACAAAAACGTGCGCGCGCGCTCTTGCGTCGTCGTCGTCGTCGTCGCCGTCCTCCCTCCTCCCGCGTCGTTGTCGTCGTCGTCGTCGCCTACGTCGTCCTCTGTCTTTCCTCGTGTTCGTCGTCGTCGTCCTCTTTGGCGTCGTGGTCGTTTCCGTCGTCGTTGTCGCCGTGGTCGTCCTTCCTCCTCCTCCCTCGTCGTCGTCGTCGTCCGTCGTCGGCGTCTCGTCGTCGTCCTTCCTATTTCGTCGCCGTCGTCGTCGTCGTCGTTGTCGTCGTCGTCGTCTTCCCTCCTCCCTCGTCGTTGCCGTCGTCGGCGTTGCCGTCCTTCCTCCTTCTTCGTCGTTCGCGTCGTCGCCGTCCTCCTTTCTCCCTCGTCGTTATCGTCGTTGTCGCCGTCGTCGTCCTCCCTCCTTCCTTGTTGTCTTCGTTGGCGATGTCGTCGTCGTCTTCGTCGTCGTCGTCGTCGGCGTCGTTGTCGTCTTCGTCGTCGTCGTCGGCGTCGTTGACGTCGTCGTCGTCGGTGTCGTCGTTATCGTCGTCGTCGGCGTCGTCATCGTCGTCGTCGTTGTCATCGTCGTCGTCGTCGGCGTCGGCGTCGTCGAAGTCGTTGGAGACGTCGTCGGTGTCGTCGTAGTCGTTGTCGGCGGCGTCGTCATCGTCGTTGTCGCTGTCGTCGTCGGCGTCGCTGTTGTTGCCAAGTGCCATGTGGTACCCACCGTCACGGTCTCAAGAGATTTTGCAAACCAAGTTGCGGGTGGGGGTGGGATGTTTGCGCGAGCAGTGGAGTGGACATCTCACTGCGAACAGAAATTAATTGCACCACCTAGATGGCACAAAGTACATTACACGACAAAAAATAGCACCACATAGGTGGAACAGGGCAGATCCACCGCATAGGTTGCAGCACAGATATTGCAACGCGCAGATTCTCCTGTCTAAGCAGAATAGACTCTACCCCCCCCCCCCCGGGCGTTATCGCCCCCCCTTTCGGGTATGTAAATCACATACGATTCTGACCACATGTCCATCCTAAATAGGAAATCGCAATATCCCAGGCCAACTGGTATCCCCCCCTCAGGTTCCCTGGTGAAAAAAAACGCTATACGGTGACATTTTTTTGTTCTAACATAGCATGTGTTTGCAAATCCCAGGCAACAAATGAAAAAAATAGCACACGCGCGCGTCGTCGCGCGCGCATGCCGAAATCCTTCAAAAACCTTCGGTGCTGGAAGGATTTCGCAATCGAGTTTCCAAAACACATATAAAAACATAGGGTTTCGCAACACTGGTTTGCTAAAAAAGCTTACGCGCGAGCTCATGCGAAATCTTACGAAAACCAATGGTTTTCCAAGATTTTCACCACATGCTACCAAACGGGCGTCGCGCGCGCGCATGTCGAAATCTGTCGAACGCCCTTGCGCGTGTGCCGTCTCGACAACCCCTTTCAAAAAATGGGACGAAGTGCACACGCGCGCGTCGTCGCGCGCGTACGCCGAAATCCTTCGAACCCATCGGTTTCGGAAGGATTTCAAAATCGCGCGTCCAAAAAACCTACAAAAACACAAGGTTTCGCAGCACGGATTTTCAACAAAAGCGTGCGCGCGCGCTCTTGCGGCGTCGTCGTCGTCGTCGTCGTCGCCGTCCTCCCTCCTCCCGCGTCGTCGTCGTCGTCGCCTACGTCGTCCTGTGTCTTTCCTCGTGTTCGTCGTCGTCGTCCTCTTTGGCGTTGTGGTCGATTCCGTCGTCGTTGTCGTCCTTCCTCCTCCCTCGTCGTCGTCGTCGTCGTCCGTCGTCGGCATCTCGTCGTCGTCCCTCCTATTTCGTCGCCGTCGTCGTCGTCGTTGTCGTCGTTGTCTCGTCGTCGTCTTCCCTCCTCCCTCGTCGTTGTCGTCGTCGGCGTCGCCGTCCTTCCTCCTTCTTCGTCGTTCGCGTCGTCGCCGTCCTCCCTCCTCCCTCGTTGTCGTCGTTGTCGTCGTTGTCGCCGTCGTCGTCCTCCCTCCTTCCTTGTTGTCTTCGTTGGCGACGTCGTCGTCTTCGTCGTCGTCGTCGGCGTCGGCATCGTCGTCTTCGTCGTCGTCGACGTCGGCGTCGTCGTCGTCGCCGCCGTCGTCGTCGTCGTCGTCGGCCGTCTTGCTTCTCCGGCCTTTTTGGGGCGCTCTTGGGACGCCCCCGAGGGCTCCAAGACGACCCCGGAGCGATATCTGTGCTCGGTCCCGCATGGGTTTTGCAAACCAAGTTGCGGGTGGGTGGGTGGGATGATTGCGCGAGCAGTGGAGTTGACAACTTCAACTTCGGCAAGTGAGTTGCACCACATAGATTGCTCCACATAGATTGCAAACCGGGATTGAGCTATTGTCGCACCTGAAACTGTGTTGTGCGGTCGCGCCCCCTTTTGCATATCACCTTCCATCCCCCATGCGTCTCCTGCTCCCTTCCAGCCCTTCCGGCCATCCCATCCTCCCCCTCCGCCTCACCTTCCCCCTCCATCATTCTCCGCGCCTGAGCAGTACATCGCCTGCGCCAGATGGCGCAGCGCCCCGTCGACCAGCGCCCTCTGCGGTGTGTCCAAGGGCACCTGAGCTGGGGGCGGCCTCCCAGAGGCATGACGCCTCTGGATACTTTTAACGCTCCTCGGAGGTCATGGAGGCTTCCAGGCTAGGTCTCTGGAGGCCTTTAGGTGCCCCACAAACCAACCACGTCCGAAAACTTCCATCCTTTACCATTTTAGTGTCCATTCCATGGGAGCCTGAGTGGCCCCTGGCGCTGATTTGGGCCTGCTTTGGACCACATTTGGAACACATTTGGGGCCCGACTTCGGTTCGAGCCGGATTTGGACCGGATTCGCCCATACACAAGGGAAACGCGGAGAACGAGGAATAGGAATAGGAATAACCCTGGGACGCCGCACCGTCAAGAACGAGAAGGAGGGGAAGAGGAAGGGCGAGGAGGAGCAGAAGGGCCAAAGGCGGTTGAAATGCTGTCGCAGGAAAAATGATTTCACCATCGCCGCCCTGGGCTCCCGTGAACAGACACCGCAGACCCTGGATCCTTGACTCGAGCACGGCAGGGTCACGCACGGCCCGTGGCCACGGCGACGAGTGCCGATGGAGGCGCCGTGGCTGCCGAGCAGAGCGCGTGGCCAGGGGCCGATGCAAAGCAACCATTTCACGTAACGTTTCCAAGGAATGCCAAGCAGCGCAGAGGAATACCAAGCAACGATTCCAATCCCTGCCAGGCAATGCCAAATTCAATGTCAAAATGCAATGCCGGGCAATGCCAAGCAACGCCAAGCCAATGCCAAACAATGCCAAGCACTGCCGGTAATCGATCCCAGGCAATGCCACGCAACGCCAAGCAACCAAGCAGTGCCAAGCCGATGCCAGACACTGCCACGCACCGAATCCATGCAATGCAGCGTAACGCCAAGCAATGCAAAACAATGCCGATACACAATTCCAAGCAACGCTACGCAGTGTCAAGCAACGCCAAGCAATGCTAAGCAATGCCAGGCAAGACCAGCAAATGTCAAGCCATGCAAACAATGCAAAGTAAGCCCACAAGCCTCTGGGCGTCGGTGGTCTAACGAGTTATTGCTTCCTCTTCCAACACAATCTTTCCTTCGGAAAAGTGCCCTCCCCCTACCTTCCCGAGGGGCCTGGGCGGGGGGCGGGGGGCGAGGAGTTAGAGAGCACAAGATGGCCCAATATGGTTCCAAGAGGGCCTCCGATGCTCCAAGATGGTCTCCAAGATGGCCCAACATTGCCGAAAGTGGCCCAAGATGGACTCCAATATGCTCCAATAGGCCTAACATACCGCTCCAAGACGGTCCCACGTGCTCTCGGAGGCCTCTCAAGACGCCCCAAGTCGCGATGAAACGTACTCCCGCTTCGGGGAGAGAGCGAGTCTCTGACAGGAGTGTAAACAGTCGATGCCTGGCCGCGGACCAGCGGTGTCTACCCTGCCCCCTGGGGAAATTGGCGTATTCAGCCAAACTGGCAACGGAAGGAGCAGGAGGAGGAGGTGCCCCAGTACCTGAGGGCGCCCAATGTATCCGAAGAAACACTGGGGCCAGACTACAGGATGTGAGGCGCGTGCTGCAGTGAACACGGCGCTAGATTGTAAGTCATGCCCGTTAGGCAAAACAGGAAAAGAGAGGATATGTGGCAACGGAAAAGACGGGGCGAACGGAATGGCAACCGAGCAGAGAGAACGGCGTCAAGACGAGGAATGGCGGGGTGGAATGCCCCTGTCGGGGGGCACGGGGTTAGCCGAAACGGAGGGGCTACATTCGCGGGCGGCCTCAGCTAGGCTCCTCATTTCTTTCGCACTCGCGTCGAGGCTGTGCGGGAAGAGATCTGCCTGAGGCTCCTCATTGACGGGTTCATGCAGACGGTCGCCACACCCAGCATCAGCGCCAGGAGCATCCAGAAGGACACGGCCGGGTTCATGCAGATGATCGCCACCGTCAGCGGCGGCGGCAGGAGCATCCAAACGGACGCGAGCGGCTTCATGCAGGCGTTCGCCACCATCAGCGGCAGCGTCAGGATCATCCAGGGTGACATCAGCACCCTCGCGAGCGAGCCCACGCAGAGCGGGTCCATGCAGACGGTGGCCACGCTCTGCGGGATGGGGTTCTCCACGAACGGGTTTATGCGGATGGTCGCCACCGTCAGCGGCAGGGTGAGGAGCAGCCAGAGGGACACGAACGGCGAACGGGTTCATGCAGATGGTCGCCACCGTCAGCGGCGTCGGCAGGAGCATCCAATCGGACGCGGAAGGCGTCAGGAAGGAGGTCGCCACCCTCGGAGCCGTTGGGCTCCCCACGAACGGGTTTATGCAGATGGCCGCCACCATCGGCGGCAGCGTCAGGAGCATTCAGAGGACTATTGACAGCTTCTCGAACGGGATCAAGCAGAACAGGCTCGTGCAGAAGGTCGCCACCCTCGGCGTGAACATCCCGACGCTCGAAGGTGTCGAAGAACATACGGCGCCGAGCAACCGCATCACGGGTCCAAGCTGCCTTGTGCTGCAGGAGCTCGGCGGCCTCCGACAACTTGGTATGGTCAGTGATTGTACACTTCTGCACTAGCGTGAAGACGAAGCGACGCTCGGCGACACTATCACCGTGAGCAGCATGACCACCACCAGCGACAGAGGCAGCACCAGCGGGAGGTACAAGGGCATGCGGACGATCACCACGAGCAGCATGATGCTCGCCACCAGCGGCGGCGGCATCATGGACACCGTCGGCCGCGCCAGCGAGAACACTATGCCCAGGGTCGCCCCCGATGGCGGCTCGATGGTCGTGGGCGACGTTCTGCTCGAGGTCGCCACCGGCGGCGGCGGCGTGCAGAGGAGGACGGATGCCATCGGCATTGCGCAAAAGATCGCGCGCGTGACGTTCGCAAGTTTGCAGAAGGGCGTCCTATACCCACTACAGCACTATGTTCGCCACCAGCGGCGGCGTGAAGACAAGGGTCACCAGCAGCATGCAGTGCATCAATATCATCGCGAGCAGCACCGTGCAGCACGCGGCCACGAGCGGGAGGCACACTGCGGCGCCAAGCGGCGAAAGCGAAGTCCAGGCCATCGCGGTGTTGGGCACGCCTGCGGTCTGAGCTTGCTCTCGAGCAGCATGCTGCACCGGGCCGTCAGCAGGAGGTTGGGCCTCTGAGGCATAGGCGTTGAGCTGATTGATGAATGCAGCCCCGCAGGCAGCTGAGAATGCGCACAGGCTCCGAGCCCGATAGGCCAAGACGCCCCCGGTGTCGCAGCGGCCGTAGACGGGGAAGCGATGCGGTCGACCAGGTTGAGCATCGCTTGCGCTAGCGAGACCACCACGTCGAGCGGAGCTGTCTGCGTCCGGAGGGGGTGCACGCTCGCCTGCGGAGCACCAGGAAGATCGTCAGGGACAGGCGGAGCTCTGGGGCCCTGAGCTCGCGTGACTAGACCTTCAAATGGCACACCGCTCGCCAGCATGAGGCCGCAGATGCTGGAGGTGAAGAGCACGCAGACGGCGATGATGTAGCGCGGCAGCCATGCTGACGTGCGGCATGCGCAGACGAGGACGATCGCGATCAGCAGCCAGCACGGCAATGGCACGTGCATATGGAATCGCGGACCGCAGACGCGGGCGGCGCGGCGCTAAGCCAGGGGGCCTTGGGCGAGACGGCAGTGGTGACCATTTCGGCCAAGTCCGAGATCCCAAAGGGAGGACGGACTTGAGCCAACATAGCTACGGAAGGAGGAGGAGGAGAAGGAGGAGGAGGAGGAGGAGAAGGAGGAGGAGGGAGGGAGGGAGGGAGGGAGGGAGGGAGCGAGGGAGGAGGAGGAGGAGGAGGAGGAGGAGGAGGAGGAGGCGACGTCGTCGGGCAGAGGGCGCCGTCTCGGCCAGGCGGCGGAGCGGGTCGCTGGGCAGCGCGGCGCCGCCAGCGGGAGGGTCCTCGGCGCGGCCGCCCTGGACGGCGGCGACGACCAGGAGGACGGAGATCGGCGGCGCGCAGCCGCTGGCACGAAGTGAAGTACCCCAAGGCGCATGCAGCCCTGAGAGGTAGTGTCTGGAAGGTTCTTAAGGGCCCGGGCCCCAAGTTTCCCGCGCGGTCCCGCGCGCTCTTCGGGTGTGTCGTGTGGGCCTCTGGGAAAGTCCCCTCGCTCAAGCGCTCCCCAAAACAGGCCAAGAAAGCCCCAGGAGGCCGCCCAGACGGTCCAGGAGGGGCACAGAAGCGCCGAAATATCCCTCCAATATGCCCAAGATGGCCTCCAGGCGGCCCAAGGGCCCAAGGGGCCTCGAAGTCGCCCCAAGAAGCCTTCAAGAGCACCCCCAAGATGGCCCCAAGAGGCAACAATCACTGATGTTCCTAAGAGCTTTGAATGATTATGGCGTTCTCGCCTTTTCAGCTTCCCGACGCTCCAAGGCGGCCCAAGAGGCCCCCAATGTCGCTCCAAGACAGCCGAAGAGGCCTCCAAGAGGGCCCCAAACTGCCAAAGAGGGCCCCAAGACGGCCCAAGAGGCCTCCAAGACGGCCCAATAGGCACCCAGGACAGCTCCAAGAGGGGGCCCCGACAGAGGACCCGAACGGACAGTTCGAGTCCTCGGCCCAGAGAGGCCCCCAGAAGGCCTCAAGAGGCTCCCAAGAGGCCGCCAAGAGGCCCCCAAGAGGACCCCAGGACGCCCCAAGAGGCCCCCAAGAGGCTCCCAAGGGGCCTTCCAGAAGCTCCCAAGAGACTCCACAACTGTCCGCCAGAGGCCTCCGAGAGCGCTCCGAAGAGACCCCAAGAAACATCCCTGAGGACTCTGACCCACATCCCAGGCCCGGTGGCGGAATGGGCCGAAGGCGTCTGCTATCAGTTTTCTGCTTTCGGGGAAGGCTCCGAAACCTTGTCAGAAGGCCCGAGGCCTTCCGAGCCTTCCGAGAAGGCCCGCCCCCTCTCGCTTCCCCCCCGGGGCTCGCCGCCGAGAGGGGGAGCGGGGGGTGCGAGGCAAGGATGTATCCACATCCGTCACCTGGGGAAGCGACGTCCTGGGACCCTAGCGGGCGGCGGACATGGATGCATGTGGGCCTCATGGGGGCCCGATGGTATCCATATACGCCGCCTGCCAAAGCCACCCTGCAGATCGATCCTCCAGGCGATGCTTATGGATAAAGCCCCGCCTCGGAGGGGGGTGGGGATCAGGATCCCGCTTGTGTCTTCTTTGCGATCACGCCCACGACCAGCCCTAACCCCCCAGCGCCCTCGCCCCGTAGTCACGGCTCACTCCCGAGCATTCCCACGCGGCGCTGGCGCGAATCGCGACATGACCGGCCCCCTCCCAACCTCCCCCCTGGTCGCGCGCGCTATCGTCAGGGAGTTTTAAAACGCTCTCTACCGACAATTGCCCACCTCGGAGGGGGCGGAGATCTGGAGAGTGCGGTTCGCCTTGCGGCGGCTGGCCGCCCTCCAGCCGAGCCGGGCCGTCTTTCAGCCGTCCGCATGGGGCTGGAAGCACACGTCTCTCCTCCTCCTCGCTCCTCGCTCATCGCTCCTCGCTCCTCGTTCCTCGCTCCTCCTCCTCTTCCTCATCCTCCTCCTCCTCCTCGCCCTCTCGGGTAGTCCAGCAACCCAGCAGCAGACGTCGTTTCTCGGCCATCCTAGGAGCCCCGAGGGCCCGCTACTCTTTTCTTTCCTCGGCAGATGGAGGAGGGAGGAGAGAGGAGAACAATGAGCTCGGTGCGCCCGCGCCATATCTGACGTCCTACCTGCCCTTCCCTCCGCACAGGTTGATGGGACCATAATGGAGCCCGACCCTATCAACGCCTCCCGCTCGTCAGTTGCTGGCTCGCCGCAAGGGATCCCCTCTGCCATGTTGTGTTTGCATCCTCTGTTTTCGGCTGGAGAAGGCGGTGTTGAAAGCAGAGCATTATGTGGATGTCTTGCTAGACATGGAGCCACGACTCCAGAGCGGCCCAGACCTCTAGACGACGATCGGCTTACCCTTCAAAGAACCTGGCGACATGCCATGACATGCTGTGCGGTGTTGTTCTGCGCTGCTGTGCAATGCCATGCTTTGCGTTGCAATGCTTTCTGATGCGATGCTTCACTGCGCAATGCCACGCCACGCTATGGCATGCTGCGCTCGACCGTGCGTTTCTACGCCATGACATGCCGTGCTCTACCATACATCGCGTACCCTCTCGCGATTATTACCCTGCTCGACATCCGACTGTGCAAATAGAGAGGAGATCTACGCCCGGGTAAGGGATGGGAGGGAGGGGAGGACATCAGATATGACGCGAGCGCACCAACCTTGCCTCCCTCCTTTCCCTCCTCTCTCGCCGCTCCCTCCGTTCCCGCCATACATTGACAATATGAATACTACTCTCCTCCCTCCCTGATGACGTCCGCAAGATATCCGGCCCCACCCCGCGTTTTTTTTACACCGGAGTCCTGAGGCAAATGTCTTCGCTTGGGTTTTTGTTTCAAAAAATGGCTCCCGCTGAAGCGCTGGCCTCACAATCGGGCTCCCGCTCGTTCCGAATCGTGCTCCCGCTGCAGCGCTGGCCTCATGTCCGCCCTTCCGCTCGATCCGAATCGTGCTCCCGCTGCAGCGCTGCACTCAGTTCCGCGCTTCCGCTCGTTTCTAATCGTTCTCCCGCTGCAGCGCTGGCGTCATTATTTACAGTGCCATGCCACGGCATGGTTTCGGTCCTTCCAAATAGGCCCCTAACTCTAGAGAATAGTCCTCGAAAAAAACATCGGAAGTGATTACACATTCAGTGCCGATTCGTTGATTTTGGGGACCGCAGAAGCCCCCCCGCCGCGCCATGCTATGTCACGCTGGGCGCTGATATTCAACACCATGCTATCCCATGTAATGCTATGCCCTGCTACGACATCCGACTGTGCGAATAGGGAGGAGATCTACGCCATGAGAAGGGATGGGAGGAAGGGGTAGGACGCTGGACATGACGCGAGCGTACCTAGCTTGTCTCCCTTCTCTCCTTCCTCTCCCTCCTCCTCCTCCTCCTCCTCCTCCTCCTCCTCCTCCTCCTCTCCCTCCTCCCCCTCCTCCTTCCTCCCTCCTGCCTCATACCCCCTCCCTCCTCCCTCCACCTCCTCCTGCTCCTCCTCTTCCTCCTCCCTTTCTGCCTCCTCCTCCTCCTCCTCCTCGTGCTCCTCCCCTCTATTCCTCCTCCTCCTCCTCCTCCTCCTCCTCCTCCTTCGCATCATCCTCCTCCTTCATCCTCCTCCTCTCCCTCCTCCCCCTCCTCCCCCTCTCCCTCCTCCCCCATCCTCCTCCGCCTCCTCCCCCTCCTCCGCCTCCTCCGCCTCCTCCTCGTTTCTATTGTTCATTCTTATTCTTATCAGTAGTACTGTCATTCGCATTGTTATTAGTCACAATGTTAGTATTGCGGCTAGAAGCAGTAGTATTACTGCTATTACTGGTTGGTGTTGTTGCTCTTCTTCTGATTCGTAGTATTAGTCGCATTGTCTTACTATTCTGGTTCGTATTAGTGATGGTTAGTCTTATGATTATTCCTCCACTTCCTCCAACTTCTCCCCCTCCTCCAACTTCTCATCCTCCTCCTGCTCCTCCTATTCCTCCTCCTCCTGCTCCTCCTCCTTCTCCTCCACTTCCTCCTCCTCCTCCTCATCCTCCTCCTCCTCCTCCCCCTCCTCCTCCTATTCCCCCTCCTCCTCCTCCTCCTCCGCCTCCTCCTCCTCCTCCAGGTATTATTCCTTCTTCTTCCTCCTCCTCCTTCAGCAGTTCTCATTCCTTCTCGTCCTCCTCCTCCTCCCCCTCCTCCTCCCCCTCCTTCTCCTCCTCCTCCTCCTCCTCCTCCACCTCCTCCTGCTCCTCCTCCTCCTCCTCCTCCTCCTCCTCCTCCTCCTCCTCCTCTCCACAATTACTCAATATGAATACTACTCTCCCTCTTCCCCTGATGACGATTTGAAAATGCTCGACCCCCCACCGCGTAATGTTTTTTCGCATGCATTTTTTTCCAAAATACTGCTCTCGCTGAGGCGCCGGCCTCATTTTCGGGCCACGCTCGTTCCGAATCGTGCTCCCGCTGCAGCGCTGGCCTCATTTCCGTGCTTCCGCTCGTTCCGAATCGTGCTCCCGCTGCAGCGTTGGCCTCATTTACGCGCTTCCGCTCGTTTCGACTCGTGCTCCCGCTGCAGCGCTGGCGTCATTTCCCGTGCCATGCCACAGCATGCAATGCAATGCCAGATTGATACTACGCTTTGCGGTGCCTTCTCTACGCCATGCCATGCCGTGCTCTACAATGCATCGCGTACCCTTTCGGGATCATTGCCCTGCTCGAGCAGCACTGGCCTCATTTCCGCGCTTCCGCTCGTTTCGACTCGTGCTCCCGCTGCAGCGCTGGCGTCATTTCCCGTGCCATGCCACGGTGTGCAATGCAATGCTAGGTTGATACTACGCTTTGCGGTGCTCTCCTACGCCATGCCATGCCGTGCTCTACCATGCATCGCGCATCCTTTCGGGATCATTGCCCTGCTCGACATCCGACTGTGCGAGCGCGCCATGGTAAGGGATGGGAGGGAGGGGTAGGATGTCAGATATGACGCGAGCGCACCTAGCTTGCCCCTCCCCCCTTCCCCCGTCCCCCCTCCCCCCTCCCCCATCCCCCCGTCCCCTCTCCCCCTCCCCCTCCCCCTCCTCCTCCTTCTCTGCTCCTTCTCCTTCTCCTTTCTCCTCCTCCTCCCCCCTCCCCTTCACAATTACCCAATATGAATACTACTCTCCCTCTTCCCCGGATGACGGCTTGAAAGTGTTAGCCCCCCCCCGCGTACTGTTTTTTACACACAAGATTCCCCAGAGTTGGGTTTTCGCATGCATTTTTTCCAAAATGCTGCTCTCGCTGAGGCGCCGGCCTCATTTTCGGGCCCCGCTCGTTCCGAATCGTGCTCCCGCTGCAGCGCTGGCCTCATTTCCGTGCTTCCGCTCGTTCCGAACCGTGCTCCCGCTGCAACGCTGGCCTCATTTCCGCGCTTCCGCTCGTTCCGACTCGTGCTCCCGCTGCAGTGCTTGAGTCATTTCCCGTGCCATGCCACGGCATGCAATGCAATGCTAGATTGATACTACGCTTTGCGGTGCTCTTCTACGCCATGCCATGCCGTGCTCTACAATGCATCGCGTACCCTTTCGGGATCATTGCCCTGCTCGACATCCGACTGTACGAGTAGAGAGGTAGGATGTCAGATATGACGCGAGCGCACCTAGCTTGCCCCTCCCCCCTCCCCCTCCCCCTCCCCTCTCCCTCTCCTCCTCCTCCTCCTCCTCCTCCTCCTCCTCCTCCTCCTCCTGCTCCTCCTGCTCCTCCTCATCATCATCCTCTTCCTCCTCCTCCCCCCCTCCTCCGCCTCCGCCTTCTCCTTGTCTTCCTTCTTCTTCTCCTTATCCTTCTCCGCCTCCTTCTCATGATCCTTTTCCTTCTCCTTTTCCGCCTCCGCCTCCCCTCCGCCTCCGCCTCCGCCTCCGCCTCCGCCTCCGCCTCCTCCTCCTCCTTCTCCTCCTCCTTCTCCTCCTCCTTCTCCGCCTCCGCCTGCTCCTTCCCCCCTCCCTCCTCCTCCTCCTCCTCCTCCTCCTCCTCCTCCTCCTCCTCCACCTGCTCCTCCTCCTCCTCCTCCTCCTCCTCCTCCCCTCCTCCTCCTCCTCCCCCTCCTCCTCCCTCCTCCTCCTCCTCCTCCTCCTCCTCCTCCTCCTCCTCCTCCTCCTCCTCTCCTCCTCCTCCTCCTCCTCCCTCCGCCTCCCTCCGCCTCCTCCTCCACCTGCTCCTCCTCCTCCTCCTCCTCCTCCTCCTCCTCCTCCTCCTCCTCCTGCTCCTCCTCCTGCTCCTCCCCGTGCCGATGCTGCTCAAAACTCCTCTGGGGGAATCGGCTTGGGACGCACGGGTCGCCACCAAGGGTGCGGCTTAGCCAAATCCAACGAGCACTCCAGCCGAGCCCCCGGCGGAATGAGCAGCGGGGCGCCAGTGGCAAGGGGCCAGCAAGGATGCTCGCCTCCAGGACACAGCCCGACGGCAATGCCGGCGGTCCTGTTTTCAATCCATTCTCGAACACCAGAGGTACTGACCTGCAAGACTCAGCCAGGCGGCAATGCCGGCGGTCCTGCTGTCACTCCACACTCGCACACCAGCGGTACTGACCTGCAGGACACAGCCCGGCGGCAATGCTAGCGATCCTGCTTCCACTCCACACTCGCACACCAGAGGACGAACCTCCAGGACACAGCCCGGCGGCAATGCCAGCGGTCCTGCTTTCACTCGTCACCCGCACACCGCAGAGGTACGGACCTCCAGGACACAGTCTGGCGGCAATGCCGGCGGTCCTGCATCCACTCCACTCTCGCACCACCGAGGTACTGACCTCCAGGACACAGCCCGGCGGTCCTGCTATCACTTCACACGTGGTCCTCGCTCACCACAGAGGTGCTGACCTCTAGGTCACAGCCTGGCGGCAATGCCGGCGG